GGGACATATAATATGCATGTATTATTATAATATCAGATAGAATTGTTATTACTAATGTAATGCTACGAAATCTGCATTTTATAATTTTTTGTGTATTTTGGTTGGAGCTAAAAAACTCTCCCTCGGTAGGCAGTTTGTTTTTTTATCGTACTATATGCGAAGTGATCAGATTGCATTATCTCCACACGTATGTTTAATAATGTTTTAAAGGAGTTATTTGATTGTAATTCGAAGTTGATATGTTATTTTGTATTATGATTGCATAAGAAAAAAGTTAATAGTATATTTTTATAACAATCGTGTCGATGACATTCGCAATGTAGTCAGTCACGATTTCGAGAAAGCAGAATTCAAGTTTTTTATTTTAATCGAAATTATAAAAATAAAAGAAAAATGTAGGGTATGTGTATTCATTTATTAATATTGTCCGAACAGTGTTTGCATGTTAACGGACTGCTGTACATTGGTCGCAGCTACCGATGCGACGAATTAATATGAGTGTGGTCGTGGATACCTTCCGATTACCGCCTACTCCGACCGTACCGGGATCGGAATTTTAAGGAATTGATACGTTTAGAGCGACGTCCTATTTCATGTACAGCACCGACTACGGATTCTTCTGGTGCAGCTGAAACATACATGAGCGCCCATCGCTTGTTGCTTTTCGCGGAAAAATTTATACAAGTCGTATTTGCTATTTTTTACAGAATAGAAAAATAAAATATAACGAAGTATACTTTTCGTATAAATAAAATTTATAAAATGTTTTAAACCTAAAAGAGAAATGCAAACAGTTGATAGATTTTTATAATAATAAAATGCCGCGTAACTCACTCTGTGTTTGAGGTGGCACTAATCTAAACGCGGAACTTGCCGAGGGTTGCTGGAGGTCCATAGTCCATAGGAAGCCCCTAGGAAGGCGTTGTTTGGATGCGTAACGTAAAACATCACGAATCTTCCTCGTGGTTGGACTGAGATTTAGCTGATTTTTTTTTTTGTATCGCGGGTGCTATTGAAAAGAACGCATACATACACAACATGAATATGCGTGGAGGCTCGTCGAAACATTAATAGGGTGACTACTTATTTGTAAGAATAAAATATTTAAAAAACCTGAGAATTCTTTGACATTTTTTTCTGGTAATAGACACCCTAATTAAAGATATAAGATGTTAGACGGTTCTGTGCAATTACCTTGCGCAGAATTACCCGTTGGAGCGCCAGTACCAGTCATTTGTCCTTGCGTAGCTTGCTGCAAACTTGACTGCCCTTCAGTCAGCGCACCCGATTGAGGTTGAGCCAGGCTTGATGTCGACTGTGCCTGTTGCGCTGCAGAGATGCCGTCTGAGGACTCCGACGATGGCCCCGCCAAGTTAGTTTGGTTCTTTGCCGTCACGTTGCACACTACTTCAAGCATACCAGACAGCCACATGTTCCGTGGCAGGTCATCCACCTTAGCCTTGACGAGAACGCGGCACATCGGACAGCGTAACTTATGAGAGGTGCTAACAATCATCTCCAAGCACTTCTCGCAGAACGTGTGCTGGCACGGCAGCATCTTGTTAAACGGGCTCAGCTGCTCCAGACACACCGAGCACTCAACCAATTTGCTCAGCATACTCTTCGCCGTCAAGCGATTCTTCGGTCGCATTCTTTTCACCACTCCTCCCTTACGGTCCATCTTTATCTTACTCGCGATCCACCGACGTGCGTCTTATCTTCGGTGAAAAAAAATTACTGGTTTATCGGGCAATGAGAAATCCTCGGAATTCCCCAGTACAGCAAGAGGTTTGTTTCCTGTTCCCGCACTGGTGAACTAGTGTAGTAAGCTATTAGACTGAGAAAAATATACCTACTCCAATTTATTGCACCAGTGTAGCAATAGGCCTTTGATCTTTACCTATGACTACGTTTCCACCGAGGGTCAGAGTCGGGCTAGAGTCGGGTCAGAATCGAGTTGGGGTGAGCGTTTTTGCGGTGGAAACACCAAACCCCAACCCGATTCTGACCCGGTTTGGTGTTTCCACCGCAAAAACGCTCACCCCAACCCGACTCTAGCCCGACTCTGACCCTCGGTGGAAACGTAGTCTATCACGTGTCTCGTAAAGGCTATTCTACAATTACGTAAACGTGGTTGTTAGCGGTTTACAGATTCGTTCATACTTGACGCCGACTGAATGTATTTTTAAATAATTTCTATATGCAATCGTTTGTATTTCGTATGTAGACGTTTCTAGTGCAATTAGAAAGGTTTGTGAGTCATTCGTTTGTTTGTAATTAATTAATTATTTTTCCACTGTATACTTAGCGCTATAGATAAATTAGATAAAATTTTTATATGAATTCGTTGGTATTTCGTATGAAGACGTTTGTAGTGCAATTAAAAAGGTTTGTGAGTGATCCAGATAATTTTAATTAAATTTTATTAAATGGAAGTTAGCCGGATTCAAAATTTAATTGATTTCCTATCTATGATACTGAATGATTTAAGACATAAGAATTGCTTGTCACGTTCCGGGACTTCAACAATATAGCCACATATGGCAGGAACAATACAAAGTTAGTTTTATTTGGAAAAATGGTAATTATGGAGAATAGGAACTTTTCCGTATTTTGATATTTTCTTGCGGTTTTCTTGGTAAAAACCTTTGTTGTGACTCCGACAGTGATAATCAATCGGGGGAGCCCGAAAAATATGCACCCCGAGTGACCTTCAGAAGGTTAACCCGGGTTAACTGTTCTGTAAAGCAGATAATTTTCCATCATTTGTAAGTCCATACGCACACAAGAATATTGTGCTTTACAGAAATACGCAAACCCGATACAAAATGTGTCCGATCGGGCCTGTGTCCGATCGAGTCCGTGTCCTATCGGGCCT